CTGAATAGTTAACTGCATGGGCTATTCAATCACAGTTGGATGTGTGTTTCAAAAAAAAGTACAGTGTAGGTTATCTCCATAGTAGAATATTAGAACTTTATTCATAAGGTTGTTTTCTTATTTTGGGCATTATTTCTTCTTTATACCTAATTCAGTGCAGTGCTACTGGGAAGAAAATGAGCACCTTAATCAAATCAACTATCACACCCCTTGTTAACTTATTCATATTATTTAAAATTTAGCCCTAAATTCATAGATTTATAAATTGTTTGGGGAGTTGACATTTGGTAAGCATCTGTTTCTTTCTTAAAATTTTGTTAGGTTGTTTCTAACACTCATTATACTTTAAACATTTCTAAATGATATGCAGTCAAAAGTTTTCTTTTATGGCTTCTAAAAAAAAAGAAAGAAAATGAACACCTTGATATAGATACTTTGATAATGTATTTCTGATTTTAAAATTAATGCATACCTATTATAGTACATGTAAAAAATTTTTAAAGAGAAAAAATGACCAACATCTATAAAGTTATGACCCAGAGATATCACTGTTTACATTTTAACATATTTCCAAGTCGAATTTCTGCACCTATTTAATGCACACAGTTCATGTCATACTGTATATATAATTTTATATCCTTCTTTTTTCCACTTAAGATTATCTCATACACATTTCCTAGAAGATAAGAAAATGAGAAGGTGAAAGACATTCCGTTTCATTATTCTTTACTTCCATAGAAGTGATCTGCCCTACAACTGTCGCATATACTATTTCAGGGTAACTACAGTCTTATGATAAGGCCTAATCTTATATATTTTATAATACTTAGGAACACTTTGTAGGAGCTGTGCTTTTCTAATTGGTATCCTAGGAGGTGTCTCATCCTCTGGGTTTTTTCTCGTCCAGATTTCCCAGATTTTTCTTCTTAAAACACCACTTTTTATAAGTCACTTCCCTTCTCAAGGGTTTGCAGTAAGCTGCCTTTAGATTAGCTCTCAACTCAGTCTGGAATTAGAGATCCCTCTGTAAAATGCTATCATCTTTCCTCTCTCCGTCCCCTAGACACCGACTGCTCCAGGCAGATCTCAGCCAGCCAGCCAATGTCCTTCCCACTTCGTAATTTTAGTGCCTTCCCTTTTCAATCGTCAAATTTTCACTTATCTCAACCCTTTCCTTGAGGTCCTAACACACCTTTTCAATCCTTTCCCCTCCTCCCTATGACACTTCCTACCTTTGGCGCCATTCAATTTAGCTCTGAATCATTTATTGCCTTTTACAACTTTCTCTAATTGTTTGATATGTGAATGTCTTTTCTTCGGATGCTGAGCTCATAAAATTGCTCTATTTGAGGCAGGGCAGCAACTCCCACACCTGGGCGCTCTGTTACAACAGCTAACACTATGGAGCACTTGCCATATGAAGGATAATATGCTAAGTACTTGGCAGACATTATCTCATCCATTCTTCACAAAAGTCTGTGTCTTTTAGGAATGCTTTTGGCTGCAAATGACAGAGGACCCAATCTGTCTAACAATGCCTAAACAATACAGACTTATTTATTATCTAATGTAATTATAACAACAGGAACAAAAATTGGAGGTAGGTGGTTTCCAGCGTTGGCTTAGCAACTCTCTGATGTCTGGGCTCTGCTTTGGCATCTCCGCAAGTCTTTTCGGCTTTCCGCATGGGTGTGATGTGGCTGTAACATTTCCTGGCATCACATCCTCACACAGCCCTGCTCAAAGTCGGGTAGGAGGAGGGGGTGTAGGATAGGAAGTTCCCTTTGCATATCTCCTCTTACCAGGAAGGAAAAATTTCCCCAAACATTTCCCAGCAGACTTCTCCCACATCTCATTGACCAGAACTGGGCTATCTATCCACCCCCTAGACCAGCAATGAGGTCCTTCTTCCCAAGATCAAGAAATCTCTGAATAATACTAAAAATCAGGAAGAAGGACAGCAAGAATGGATTGCTCTTGCATAGGCAACAAACAGTACCAGCCACACAGCATATTAGGAAATTAAAGCTCAGAGGAGCTGAGGAATTTGTGCAAGATTATGCAACTACTAAATGGCAGAAAGAGGTTTCAAATCAGATCTTTCTGAGCCTCTCAGAATCCACATCTTTGCTCACCACACTTTTAAGTCTTTCTAGAGAGTTTTCGAATCTTATTCATCAAAAAATATTTAGTACCCACTTGATGCTCAGCACTGTTCTTGCTGCTAAAAGGGAATTAAGTATACAGTATCATCTAGTTAGTGACAGAAGCCCAGCCTGGATGAAATAGCTAGAACACATACAATTTATTAACTAACTAATAATCATTATTACGTTGCAAGTTCAACTCTAAGTGGTGCGGTTCTACGTGGCAGGAGTTCACTGAGGTTTGTAGAAGTCAGACTGGATTTCATGGATGCTATGGGGTGTGAATCAAACCTCACAGATTTGGATCAGTGGGGATAAGGGTGGCTAAAGTTCTAGGTATGTTCACTATTGGCTTAGCAGACTGCTGTGCTGCCTATGTGTGGTTAAAAAATGGTTGAACAAATTGGTTACATTGCCAGAGGGGGCCCTCCAGCGGACTGAGACCGAAAAGGGAGAGAGACCTAGACCACAAAGCAATAGCATCTACTGAACTCACTGAGACAGAGAACTGGCTGAGTGCCAAGGGATGTGAAAACTTATAAAAGGGTCAGTGGCTGCCTGAAAGGTTTCTTCGGTCTATCGGAAGAAGCTGGGAGTTGAAAGGTCACTGTTGAGGTGGAATTCCAGTTCTTTTTCTTTATGTGACCTGAGACCTTCCAGAAATTAATAAATCGAATAATTTGGCTTTTGACTGCCACATACATGTTCTGAAGAATGCACCTATCTCATTGTCCCTTTAATAATAATGAGGGGTTTGGGGTAAGTCAACTCACTCCTTTTTGACCAGAGACTCACGTTAGCAAGACGAGGTAAGGATAAATCTGGCTCATGGACCAGGGTCAAGCTAAGATGCCCACACAGGGCTCAGACCCACAGGCTTGGTTTTTTTTTTTTTTTTTTGCGGTACGCGGGCCTCTCACTG